CAGCAGTATATAAGAAATAACTGAACAGTGCAAAATTTAATAGGGTTTCGCGTGAGATGAGTTCCTAGGCATTGGAAATGAAGGTCTTACGACCATTTGCCAGGGGTGGCCTGCGTATATGTGGGGACGGCTGCTGTGAGGTGAAGAAAGAGGACAGTCTGTCAGGTGTGAGTGGGTGACACTGAAAGCCTTTTTGAACTCTTTGAATGCTGTGATTTGATCTTCCTAATGACGAATTAAGGCATCCATGTTGGCTTGTCTTCATCATGCCAGTTAAATGATATGCCTCACCCTGAAGGCGGAAATACAAAGTCTCCAGGTCAGTTTTTTCATGGCACATTTTAACCAAAACTGGTGACTAAACCATCTGTTTTTAAGTCAAACAGATCCATAAATTAACTCATTTCAGTAATTCTTTGTAAAATGAAGAGAAAGCATATCTAGGTAGAAGTATATGCAATGTGACCCTGTGCCTATTGTACACACTCAGAAAAAGACCAGAGAGTAATACAGTAATTATGAATATCTCAGCAACATAGGAGCAATTCATGATGGAATAAGAAAACTTTTTTTGTAATCTCTGCCATCATTCCATCAACATCATCAAAACTGTGCTGTATTCTACCTTATTGCTTTTGATTCATGTTTTATTAAATGCAATCTAAAATATTATGCTTGTACTAAATATCCTTTTAATACTATGTTAGTACTTCCTAGTATAAGATGATTTTTTTTAAGAAGAAAGGCTTGTAAAGATGCTTCAATTCTAAAATGACTTGATTTTGGAAGTTGTTTTAGTCTTATCCCATACCGATCCGTTTGCAACTTCTTAAACTTCAGAAATGATAATTGTAGGTAATTCCATCAAACTGCTCTGAGCTGTCCATTGCAGTTCCTTTCCATAAGACTTACTGCATTTGATTTAATAAATTTGTCTTAAGGAAATCCATTAACATAAGCCATCTTTTCTACATTTGCATATCAGGGAGGCTTGTTGTTGTGGGTAAGTGCCATCAAGTCAGTTCCGACCCATAGCAACCTTGTATAGGGTTTCCAAGGAGCAACTGGTGGGTTTGAACAGCCAACCTTGTGGAACATTATCCTGCAGTGCTGGTGAGGCTTAGAGCTCAAAAAATAGCTAGAAACATTGATGTATAAATTATACCATTGTTTAAAGGGGAATTTTTTTTACCATTTTATTGTGAATTGAGTGAAGGTTTATAGATAAGATCATCAGCTTTACAGTCAACAAATTATACATGTTGTTTCATCTCAATGATTACAATCCCCTCCTGCAACAAGAGTTATCCTACTTCCTCTCTGTGGCTCTGCATTTACATCTTCTGTTTCACAAATGAACAAAGCAAAAAAATAGTTGATGTACACATACAAACAAAAAGTATATATTCATTTAAATGTCAAAGGGCACATTCTACAAGCCAGCCTCCTGCCCACAGGCACACAGCCTTGCTCAGTCCATGGGCCTAGAGCCCACAGCTGCTTTGTCTCTTCACGCCACCACCTCTGCCATCACTGCTTTTCTAGGTAGGAATTCATGCTCCACTCAGACTCTTCCTTCTCAGTGATCCTGGGGAGTTTTTTGAACATTAGGTTCAATTAGTATGAATTAAACAAATTAAAGCAAAAAGAACCCAACCTAAACCCAAGTATTAAACATTGATTTTATTTTAGTTGACTAAATGAAAGAATCATTTTTTTCTTTCTTTCTTTCTTTTTTTTAAAGGAAATATTCCTGGTAAGCACAGGTAATTTTATCACAGTATTGTCATAGCTAGATCTGGTGGATAGTCTCTTGGAGATATTTTCCTTAGTCTGTATTTAATATTATGGAAAAGTGTGAACTGTAATTAAATATGTGCCATAAAAAGGGTATATGCCATTGAATTCTCCCAATTTTGGGCATTGTGGGAAATGAGAATATCTATTGGCCAATAGGAGTCCTGGTGTGGCACTGTGGGCTAATGCGTCAGCAAAGTCGTTTGAACTGCAAGGTCAGTGGTTCAAGCTAACCATCTGCTCCTTGGAAACCCTGTACAGGGTCGCTATGGGTCGACATCAACTCGATGGCACTTAACAACAACATTGGCCAATAATGCCAGTACATCCTATTGTCTGTGGATCTGTGATCCTGTTCTCTCAGCCAATGGCCCTAAAACATGCCAAGCCAGTGAGAACACTATACAAGCTCCTGTTATGAGGACCATCTCATCTCTAGACAGAATTCCCAAGGGAGAGAGATAATTCCCCAGAGCAATAGTAGCTACCCAGTAGACAACTGGGTGGATTTGCTTTTCATTCTGGGGCTTAGGCAGGGGAGGCAGGCCTTCGGTGGACCCTATTAAAAAGCCACAGGGTTTTCTTTTTATGTTTTATTGTGAATTATGTGATAGTTCACATGGGAAGGGTTTTCTTTAGAATCAGAGATGATGGGCCTATAGAAGAATACTAGACATAATCCCACCCAATGATTTTATGTACAGATGAATTGGAAGCTGCGTGCAGACCAACGAAATGACTTACACATTCAGAATTAGAGTTAGTCAGAACCAGGATGAGAAACTTAGCTACAGATTTAAAAATAACAACTTTTTCATTATAACTGGCTTCTCCACTTTGCACCTTGAGTTCAAAACACCGTTAAGAAATAAGAAAGCTTTTTAATGAAAGAAATTTAAGGAAAAATAAAAATGCATGCTATGGGTTTTTGTTGGCTTTTTTTTTTTTTTTCTTCTGTAAACTTGAATTCTGTTTTGAGTACTCCAGTTTAATGCTTAAATGACAGTGCCTTAGTAAGAGAGAAGTGCTGCGTTTTTCCTGTGTGATCTGAAAACATAATGGGGGTACATAGATTAGCTGTCTTCTTCCAAACGTCTGGGTCATGTTTACCAGCTGGAATTCTTTGACTTAATATGTGGATATTCTGCATTGCGATACTTAATCATTACATTAACATGAGTAAAAGGTTGTTGATTTAAGATAAGTTTGAGATTCACTAAAGTTAATTGTTGTATGTTTGTCTTTCTGTTGGCTGTGGACGCTTTATATTTTCTTTGGACATCACTAATCATCTTAGCTCCTGAAGTACAACTTCAGTGCTGTAGGAATTTTGCCTTTTTTGCTAAGTATGCTTTGTGCATCTACCATTCCACTGGAATTATTTATTCCATTTATATTAATTTTTGTTACAAATCTAATTGACAGAGGTGCTTCAGGATAGTTAGGTCCGCAGGATATATTTTCTGTTTTCATAATTTGTCCTTGGTGACACAATAATCATGCCTGTCCACCTTGTAAGTGTCATGCCTTCATCATCTTCCAGGCTCCAGCTAACCGTACCATCACCTACTCATTTTTGTCCTCCTTGGAATTCTTCCAAGAAGCATAAATTATGAGGACCTTTAACTCCTGTGGAGACTGTCATTTTCTCCTGCAGCCTGGTGCAGCCACCACATGCTATGATATTAATGAAAGAAATGTAAGGAAAAAGAAAAATGCATCCTTTGTTTTTATTAAAGAAACTATCGTTTTTCTTCTTTTATAAATTAGGAATTTTATAAATTTTTTTATAAATTAGGAAGTATAATTTTTTGTGTATTTACACAATCTCATATTTCTTCTGTGTTACCGAAGTTTTCTTTCTTGTTGTTGTTGGTTCTCATAGTGATCACTACAACACTGATGCACATTACCAAATGTAGTGTGGTTTGGGAAATGTAAACTTTAAAGTGAAGATCACAGAAGGACTCAATTTTATTTGCATCTACTTAAATACAAAATAAAGTTAATTTTATTGGTCTTCATAATGTTGTATCTTGAAAGAGACTTTTTTCCCCCATTGCCAAAAGTTAATCAGCATTAACATATAGAGGAACTCCTAAATCCAGTTACTGAAAACAATTTTATTGGCTACTTTTCTTTATTTTTGGCAGCAGACATTATGAAGAAGTGAAGAATTTCTAAAGTTTATTTAGAAAATGACCCTTCTCATATTGGACTATATTCACAGGGGCCTGCAGGCATGTGTACCCCAGGGAAAAAGTCATCCCTTGCCAATTGACATGCCAATTCCAGTCCCATGATGACCTATTAACCAGAGCCCATCAATTTCTCCTTGGTTTGTCAGAGCTTCCAGCAGCATGCTGAGCTGTGCATGGAGGGCTAAAGCCCTGTTGAGTGACCCTCTCTGAGGTGATGCAGGAACGGAGCTAGAGCCTGCGGGCCCTTAGTTACACATCATTATTCTAAGACCTTCAGGAAGTTTTCTGTTCCATGTAGCGTTCTGTGCCTTGCTTTCCATGTTGTGTTTGATGCTTTGTTAAATCTCTAAATTATTTAGCAAATGTAACTGTGGAAAGGCTCATCTTCTCAAATGACACTTAGTATGTGTAACTTGGTTAGCCTAGTATTAGAAGCTGCATCCGTTTTCTATTGCTGTTTAGCAAGCTACTCTAGAACTTAATGGCGTATAATAATTGGTGGTGGTGGTGGTTATGTGCCGTGGAGTTGGTTCTGACCCATAGCGACCCTGTACATCTTTCTCCCGCAGAACAGCTGGTAGTTTCGAACTGCTGACCTTGCGATTTGTAGGCTGATTTGTAACCACTACGCTCATTTTATTTGCTGATGAGTTGGTGTGTTATCAGTTTAGACTGGATGGTGATGGTTCTTAACCTTTCTTCCCCTGAGATCTCTCATGTGGCTACAGTCACAGTAGGAGATCAGTTGGAACTAATAAGGTCACACAGGTATGGCACCTCATACAGAAGGTTGGGCCACCTTAAGTGCAGCAGAACTATGCAAGTGGCATTGTCCAGTGCAGAGTCTAGGTGGGAGGTGACTGCAGGCATTTGACCAGCTGGAAGCATCATTCATTGGGTGGGGTCCAGGGTGTAAATTATCACAGAAACAAAACAGAGAGTTCCAACTCTGCTTTTTAATGTGTTAAGTAAGCTATGAATGATAATGTTGCTGTATTTCAGACCTCTTTATTGTGCAAAGCTGCCATCCATGCAGGAGTCATTGCAGATGAACTGGGTGGCCAGATCAGCGTGCTTCAAAGCAAAGGCTTAAGTCTGTATGAAGGAACCTTGGCCAATGGTGTGCTCTCAAGGGAGTAAGTACTTTGCCTTTTGTCTGAGAGGAAGGTCATCTGAAGGAATAATTCATCAGTTCACAATTCTGGAAGGACTGCAGGGATGTGACACTAAGGGTTTGTCAATGGGGGAAACTATGTGTGAGCCTTAGGCCAATTTGGTTTTCAAGTAGATGGCTGGTGTGGCGCCATAGGATCAGTACTGCACTGGGGACCATAAGGTTGGCAGTTCAAACCCACCAGCTCCTCCTTGGAAACGCTGTACAGGGTTGATCTGAGTCAGAACTGACTTGACAGAGGAGTACTTATACTTTCCAATGCTTTAATAAGAGAGAATAAAGGCTTATTTCTTTTCAATTTATACTGGTTTTCTTCAATATTACATACAATATTGAAGGAGGCAGTGAAGTAAAACAAACTCAAAAAGTTACTGAGCTCTTTCTAAAACCCCCTGGAGACAGTCTCTTGGCAAGTAATAGTTTGAGGAGTGGGGGAAGAAAATAAGGTTTTTATTAACAAATGTCAATTGCTCTAAATGTTTCTAGCTTAGCTTTTAGTGCTTTCAGATTCCCTAAGCTTCTAGAAGGCATAAACCTAGAGAAGACCTTCTCAGAAGGATATAGCCTGTGCTCTTTGTTGGTCAGTAGGGGGAGCGGAATAAGTTTCGAAGATGTTCTCCCTTAAAGGATGGAGACCAATACAAAAAGATTGAGGTGATGAATTGTTAAGAGAAGCTCAGAAAGTTTTTATAAGGAGAGAGGAAGAAAAACAAGCAGAAATCCAGAATCATGATATCTACTGTGAATAAAAGAGTAAATAAGAGGCTAGAACAAGAAGACTCCTTTCTTGAGGGAAGTGGGACAGTGATTACAGGGCTAAGCCTCTTCAGAGGAAAGGGAGAAGAGGACTGGGCCAGGTCCCCAAGCCTACCAGCGGATGAATGTTGTAGGAAGACAGGCCATTTCAAAAGAGAATGTCCAGAGATAGAGAAGTGAAGGAAAAATGATTCCCCTCATAAAACTAGAAATTAACTTTTGAATCTTTTGTAATGGTACCTAATTGTAAGATTAGGTTAGGATTAGAGAGGGTGAAGTATGGATGAAGACAACTATGAGACCTATAACTAAAGAGGAGGAAGGAAAGATTGACTCACGGATATGGTTTAAAAAAGACAGTAGGGGAGAGCTGGAAATTCCACTCTTAGGAGTGGAACTAAAAAGAAAACTGGAGAAGGTGATCCATAGAAGACAATATCCTATCCTCATAGAAGGGAGAAAGGGTCTGTTCCAGTAATAAAGGGCTTGTTGTTGTTGTTAGGTGCTGTCAAGTCGGTACCAACTCATAGTGACCTGATGCACAGCAGAACGAAACACTGCCCGATCTTGGTCCAACCTCACTACTGTTGCCATGCTTGAGTCCATCGATGCTGTCACTTGGCCAAACCATCTCGTTGGGTGTCTTCCTCCTAGTGACTGTTTTTTTGTTTGGTATGGTAGTTTTCAAATATAATTCTTACACAGACTATTTAAGTTTATAATGCAAAATTCTAGAAGGCATAAACCTAAAGAAGGCCTTCTCAGAAGGAGATAGCCTATGCTTTGTGTTGGTCAGTAGGGGGAGCAGAATCAGTTTCAAAGATGTTCTCCCTTAAAGGATGGAGACCAAGACAAAAAGATTGAGGTGATGAACTGTTAAGAGAAGCTCAGAAAGTTTTTATAAGGAGAGAGGAGGAAAAACAGGTGAAACTTAAGTAGAAAACCTGAACAGACCCATAACAAAAGAAGAAATTGATCAGGTCATCAAAAAACTCCCAGTCGAAAGAAGTTCAGGCCCAGATGGCTTCACTGGTGGTTCTACCAAACATTCAGGAAAGATCTGTCACCAATTCTACTCAAATTATTCTAGAATATAGAAGAGGATGGAAAACTTCCTAATACATTTTACGAAGCACGCATAACCCTCATATGAAACCAGGGAAGGACATCACTAAGAAAGAAAATTATAGACCAATATCCCTCATGGATATAGATGCAAAAATTCTCAACAAAATCCTAGCAAACAGCATCCAGCAGCACATCTAAAAAATAATACATCATGACCAAGTGGGTTTTATAACAGGGATGCAAGAATGGTTCAAGATTAGAAAAACAATCAGTGTAATTCACCATATAAATAAGAAAAATGAAAGGAGCCATATGATCATATCAAACAGTGGAGAAAAGGCATTTGACAAAATCCAACATCCATTCCTGAAAAAACACTTAACAAAGTAGGAATCAAAGGGAAATTCCTCAACATAGTTAGAAAAATTATTTGTGGTAAAACTATTGAGTTGAGAGTTTATTCTCTCAATTATGTCTGCTACATAATAATTATGCTCAGTACATAGGAAGTTGCTTTATAAATTTAAAATTAAACTTCCAGGCAAAAAAAGGGGTACAGAATGAATTCGAGCTTTTCTCCGTATTCGATATAGTTATTGTCTGCTATGACTTTTGTGTAGGTGGGAGGAGATAGAAAATCCGGAACTGTAGTAGGCTCCTTTTTCCTTCTAGCTCTGTGTGATTTTATACTGAGCAGAGAAAACTGTGTATTAATAGTCTCTTCCACTTGTTTGTTTAAATTCTCAAATCTTCAGGGAGCAGTTGTTTTTTATCTGTGTTGTTTTGCTGTTGGGGAACCACTGTACATGCGGTCATTGAACTTATGTTCCCACACATGATTGTTTGGCCTTCAGGAAAAAACACAGAAGGAAGCACTGCCGCTGAGGAAGAAGGGGTCCCTAAAGTAAATATCCAGGGTTCTTCTGGGATTCATCCTGGGTCAGGTCACTTCCTTGATTTGCAGAGACCAGAATGGAATCCGGAAGATGGATTGACCTCACATAGAGCATGAGGACTGAACCATCAAGGGGGAAATCTTTCCTTTGTATTTACATTAGGTTCTTCTGGATTGCTTCTGGAGCCCTCTGGGAAGGCTAGCAGTTCCTGTCAACTGACTTGAGTTAATTCATGAATATATGAATGCTTCAGAATGCTACTTCTCCCCAGGGTGTGTTCCTTTTAAAGAGAAGAGGCTTATTGACCAGTAGAATTCTCTCAGTGGTGGTATTTGAGCTGTTTAATTGAGTTGAGTAGAAAAACTATTACCCATGTATAATGGGGGGATGTGAGTCTTCCATGGAGTCTTCCCTTCAGGGCCAGCTATGAAGTTACCTTTCTTCTATAACTACTCTTTGTACACAACAACATCAAGTATTCTAAAGTGTCATGGCAATGGAGAGAGAGAGCTTAGGTTATCAGGTTGTAGCTGTTATCTTGGGGGCTGATTTGAGTCAAATTTCAAATCTATTGCAGGAACATTAGTGATACAGCAGACAAAAGAAAGGCTTTAAATAAATCTTAATGTAAATTTAAGCCATGGCATGCTACTTTCTTTAAGTGCCAGGAGAACGGGTTCTCATCCCACTCTTGCCACTAACTTTGAACTAAGGCAAGTTCTATGTCCATCAGGTCTGAATTTTCGCATGTGTGAATGGATTGTTGTCAACATTACATTCAGTGCATGCTGTTGTTGTTAAGTGGTTGTCAAGTTATTTCTGACTCATAGTGACCCTGTGTAGGCTTTCCAAGGAGCCCCTGGTGAGTTTGAACCACCGACCTTGAGATTCAAACTGACTGCGGTCCAGTGCTTACCCTACAGCGCCACTCCAGGACATTCAGTGCACAAATGATACAAAACACTTTCTGTGAAATGCCAGGCTTAAGAAATTTTTCTGACTGAGAGGAGATGAAGACTATGGAAGAAAAAATCTACTTCCAAGTTGTCTTTTTATTAGAAGGAGCTTTTGATGGGAAGACACTTACACTTTTGGCCAGAGTATTTTGGATTTGATTCATCAGTATTCTCTCTGTACATTATTCTAAAATGTATTTCAAAATTAAATATTTTAAATAATAAGCAACATTTTCTGATGATAAAATTATTGATCCCAATTCCAGTGAAAGGTACCTTTTGGTGTTTACCTCTACATCAACAATAAATACTGTGTTGTTGTTAAATGCTGTAGAGTCAGTTCTGACTCATAGCGATCCTGAATAGGTGGTGGATTTGAACTGCTGACCTTTTGATTTTCACTCTAGTGTTTATCCTACAGCATCACACCAGAAGTCCAGTAAGTACTACACATGTAAGAAAATTATGAGGATTCTAAATTTCCATTCATTTTGCTTACTTTTTAAATAGCATTGGGAAGGGATTTAAGAAGAAGATATCTTGAACATCAGGAATCTCGTCTTTATTGAAGGAGATAACTGCAGAACAAGACTGATTTAATAAGTTCTCCCTCCCATGAAAGTAAAACAGATTGTGGAGCCCTTATTGTTGTTGTTGTTGTTGTTATGTGCCGTGGAGTCGGTTCTGACTCATAGCGACCCTGTATAGGGTTTCTGAGGCTATAAATCTTAGGGGAGCAGAAAGACTCATCTTTCTCCCATGGAACAGCTGGTAGTTTCGAACTGCTGACCATGAGATTAGCAGCCTGATTCGTAATTGGGGCCCTTTGTTGTTGTTAAGTACCGTGGAGTCAGTTCTGACTCATAGTGACCCTGCACAGGGTTTCTGAGGATGCAGATCTTTACGGGCACAGAAGCCCTCATCTTTCTCCCTCAGAAGAGCTGGTAGTTTCAAACTGCCGACCTTGAGGTTAGCAGCTTGATTCTTAACCACTCGCTACTAGAGCTCCTTAATTGGGCCTCTAGAGGGCAGAAAATCAATGCCAGCTGAGTAGTGGGACCGTCTCACAGCAGCGAGGACCCAGTTCATTCCAGATCAATAAGATGCTGTGATTTTTCTTTAGCTGTACCTTGGAAATCTAGAATCAGAAGCTGGTTCACAACTTTATGCTGGTTGCAAGGTTAGGGCGGAGTATGACTGTAGAGAGAAAGAGAGCTGCTGGGATAAGACTCTATAAGAAGTCAGAAGAGAAGGTAACTATGAAATGGTATGCTCAGCATTTCTCTTACAAGTGATCGTGCTTCGTCATTCCTCTCAGTGGGTCATGACAATGAGTACGATGGCTTAAGGGGACTGATGAAGCCAAGGGCACCTTAATGGCAGTAATCCTTTCTACCTTCATCACCATGTACTCATATTAACTTGTTGGGATTTAGGGTTGCTCCTGAGGCTGTTTGCACATTGCTTCCCAATACAGTTTGGTATGATGGAAACCACAGGATTTTGATTCAAAAGCAATGTCTCAGAGTCTTGGCTCCTTGTCATCTATATGAACTGAGAAAAGTTGCATACCTTTCATGGCCTTGAATTTTCTAATATATAAAGCACTGATGATTTGATGGTGTAAGCGGAAACCTTGTAGAGGTATTCTGAGGACCACATGAGTTACTACATGTAAGGGAGCTCTCGGTAAGCCTTGTGATGTAACTAGATTGACCTCTCTGCTTTAGTGAGGCAACTCACCTCTTCATGTTGGTATTTTCTGTTTCAGTGGTTCCCTGTCAGAAAAGCGATTTCAGTTTGCCTCCAATGGTAAGGATCATGCTTTTCTTAAGAATTTAATAGTTTAAATTGAATAAGTGAAACTTATTCAATATTTACCATGTGTTTTAACTCTTATGGTATGTAAAATATGGTATTGTTTTGTCTAATAACCTTTGGATGATTAAGACTGGTTATAAAAGGCTTTTTATGTAAATATTTCCCATGGTTTCACACATACTAAAAGTAAAATGTTAAATATTTTTAAGAAAATCTAAAATTAGAAATAAGATGTAATTCATAAAAGCCAGAAATTTAGGTAAGACAAGGAGCTATTTGCATATATTACACAACAATACATATACACATTTATATGTAAACATACATACACACACACACACACACACACACATATATATATATACATACTCACAAAGGGATTATTTATAAACCCTAAATAGGATCACTAGAAGTAAGAATAGATTCAGTGGCACTTAATAACAATATGTGTGTGTGTGTATAAATATATGTATGGCTAACAACACTAAACATGTAACAAATATGTGTATGATAAGTATGTGTTTGTGTGTATGGTGGTGGTGGTGCACCATGGATTTGGTCCCAACTTATAGCAACCCTGCATAGGGTTTCTGAGGCTGTAAATCTTTATGGGCGCAGAAACCGTCTCCCATGAAACGATGGGTAGTTTCGAACTGCTGACCTTGAGATTAGCAGCCCAACTCATAATGTTTGATAAAGTGGAGGGTTGGAGAAAAAGAAGAAGATCCTCAATGAGATGGATTGGCCCAGTGACTGCAGCAGTGAATTCAAACACAGCACAATTATGAGGTAGACACAGGATCAGTCAGTGTTTCCTTCTGTTGTGCATTGGGTTGTTATGAGTCAATACCAACTCGATGGTGCCTAACAACATCATATATGTATATGGAGTCCTGGTGTGGCACTGTAGGTTAATGCACTGGACTGCAAAGCTGGTTTGAACCACAGGGTCTGTGGTTCATCTTCACCATCCGCTCCTCAAATCCTATGCAGGGTCATTGTGAGTTAGAATGGACTTGACAGCACTTAACAACAACATATATATATGGAGTCGCTCTCTCTATATATATTATGTAGCATTTATATATATGTTGAGTTTATATATATATAGTTGTTAAGTGCTTTCAAGTCAATTCTGACCCATATATAGGGTTTCTGTTTAGGGTTTCTGAGGAGCAGCTGGTGAGCTTGTGAGCAGCTGGCGAGTTTTGCAGTCTGGCACATTAATCCACAGTGCCACACCAGGACTCCTATATATTATATACACACACACACATATATATGGAGTCCATTTTATAGAGAGAAAGAGAGAGAATATATATCTTTGTTGTTTTTGTTGTAAGTGCCATCAAGTCAGTTCTGCATTATATCAACCCTGTATAGGTTTTCTGAGGAGCAGCTTTGTGAGTTTCAAACTGCTGACCTTGAGGTTGGCAGCCCAACTCGTAACCACTATGCTACCAGAGCTACACACACACACACACACACACACACACACACACGTATATACACGTAATTGCCTAATTTTAGTGGCTAACTGCCCATAGGATTTCTTGGCTGTTTTCTTTATAAAAGGGATTGTTCCGCCTTTCTCTCACAGAGCTGCTAGGCAGCTAAGAACGTACCTATTTGTGCCACCAGATCACCTTAAACCCCAAACCGAAACCCGCTCCCCTCGAGTTCACTCCACCTCACAGTGACTGTAGGACAGAGTAGATCCACCCATAGCGTTGCCGAGGTGGAAATCTATGGAAGCAGGCTGCCACGTCCTTTCTGCCCCAGAACAGTAGTGGTGCAAAGTGGTGACCTCTCAGTGAGCAGCAGGGTTTCTTCTTACTAATCATTAAGGAAATACAAATCAAAACTACAGTGAGATGCCAATTCACTCCCATAGAATGACTATGATCCCAAAAAGTAGAAAACAAATGTTGGCAAGGATGTGGAGAAATTGGAACCTTCTTCCATGGCTGGTATGATTATAAAATGGTGCAGCCTCTGGAAAACAATTTGATGGTTCCTGAAAAATCAAACAGTGAATTTCTTTAAAACAAAACAAAACAAACCCATTACCACTGAGTCTATTGTGACTCATAGCGACCCTATATAGTATTTCTCAGGCTGTAAATCTTTATGGAAGCAGAAAGCCTCATCTTTCTCCTGAGGAGTGACTGGTGGGTTTGAACTGCTGACCTTGTGGTTAGCAGTCCAGTGCTTAATATAACTCAGCAATTTTACTCCCAAAATTGAAAGCAGAAACTCAAACATATACTTGTGCAGTAGTGTTCAATGCAACACTATTTACAAAACAGCCTAAATATTTATCAACAGATAGATGAAAAATAAAATGTGGTAATAACATAAAATCAAATATTATTCAATAAACAGAAATAAAATTCTAATACATGCTATGACATGATTAAACCTTGAAAACATTATACTAACTGAAATAAGTCAATCACAAAAGGACAAATGATCCCACTTATAGATCAAATGATCCCACTTATAGATCTGGAATTGGCAGAGGTATGGAGACCAAAGTTTACTAGTGGTTACCAAGGATGGGAAGAATACTGGTGTGGCACTGTGGGCTAGTATGCCAAACTGCAAGGTTGACTTGAACCGTAGAGTCAGTGGTTCAAGCTCACCAGTTGCTACTCGGAAATCCTATACAGATTTGCTATGAGTTGGAACTGACTCGACGACACTTAACAACAACAAGAAAGACAAAGGAAGGCAAGCAGGGGAGATGACGGAGTCATAACTTAGTGGGTACTGAGTTTCTATTAAGAGCAGTGGAAATATTTGGAAATGGATTATGATGATGGTTTTGCAACATGAGGAGTCCTGATGTTATGCTGCAGGATAATGCACTGGACCACAAAGTCCGTTTGAACTGCAAGGTCAGTGGTTCAAATCCACTAGCCGCTCTTCAGAAATGTGAGTCGGAGCCAACTCAAAGGCACTTAACAACAACATACGGCATGATGAAATTATTGTCACTGAATTATACATGTAAAAAAGGTTGAAACATCAAATGTTTTACTATACACATCTTAACCACAGTTGAAAAAAATAAAAGGAAAAGTAACAAGAATTTCAAGACACCATAATACAAATTAGTCAAATGCAAATCTGGGTCATATATAAACTCGTAATTAAATCCTGGTGTGGTGCAGTTAATGCACTGGACTGGTAAAGTCAGTCTGCAAGGTTGGTGCTTCAGACTCACCATGCACTCCTTGGAAATCCTGTACAGGGTTGCTGTGGGTTGGAATCGACTCAATAACACTTAATTACAACAACAATTAAACAGTTGATTCAATATCAGGATTGAAGTATATCAGCTAAATAATTCTAGATACACTGTTGTGAAGTGCCATTGAGTCAGTTAAGATTCATAGCAACCCTGTGTAAGGTTTCAAAGGAGTGGCTGGTGGGTTTGAAACTCCAACCTTGTGGTTAGCAGTCTGGTGCTTAGCATACAGCGCCACACCTAAGTACACTAAGGTACTTTTTGGGGTGATTTTATTTTATATCATTATCTTAGATGTCTTCTCTTCCTTTTTTTCCTAGATTGTAGCAAATCCTTGAGTTTGGAACCTAACAGGCAAATCAGAGCTTCTTCCTCTTGGCAGTGGGTCAATGAGATTGGAGAACAAGTTCATTGGTCTCCTGGCCAAGCTCACCTTCAGGATCAAGGTCCTTCCTGGGCTTCAGGGGACAACAGCAATAACCACAAACAACGAGAGTGGCTAGAGATAGATTTGGGAGAGAAAACGAAAATCACAGGTACTTATGGGAAGCATCGGGGCCCCTGGTGATGATGTGCATTAGGTGTTGGGCTGTTAATCTCAAGGTTGATGGTTCAAACCCACTAACTACTCTTTAGGGGAAAAAATGAGGCTGTCTGCTCCTGTAAAGATGCAGAGTCTCGGAAACCCTGTGTAGGGTCACGTCACAGTGAGTAGGGTCACGTCACGGTGAGTAGGGTCACGTCACAGTGAGTCGGTATTGACTGGATGGCAGGGATAATGGGAAGGGCTGAAGCAGTTTTCTGAATGCAAAATAGCTTTCAGTTGAAATTACACTTTTGATTTACATAGTTTTCTCTGTCTCTAATTGAAAGTACTTGAAGTGGATTTATAATGCTACACAAATCCTCCTATTGTCTCTGTGAGAAGAACTATGTGCATTGTAAATATCAGTACGGTGTTGTCTTTATGGATACTACCTTATTGGTACAACCTTTTTTTGATAGATTGTCAATGCAAAAACACTGATCTATTATCAGGTTTTTTAATGCAACTAATAAAAGTTGGTCTGTGTAATGCTGAGGTTTCCAATGAGAATAAAATGAAATCTGAAATTATATAATACCTGCAGTATGTCAACATGGACTCAGTGTGGCGTTGTGGATTAATGTGCTGGATTGCAAAGTCAGTTTGAACCACAAGGTCGCTGGTTCAAGCTCACCATCCACTCCTCAGAAACCCTATACCGGGTCTTTTTGGGTCAAAAAGACGGCACTTAACAACAACAATAATATGTCAACATATAGCAGGTATTATATGTTGGACTCCTGGTGTGGCATTGTAGGGTCAGCACTGGACTGCTAACAATAATTTTCACAAGATCGGCAGTTCAAACCCACCAGCTGCTCGCTCCTCGAAAATCCAATACTTGGTTGCTATGAGTTGGAACTGACTCGACGGCACTTAACAACACATATGTTAACATATTTTAAAAACTAACTTATAAATAATGTTTTCTTACAAGGAATTAGGACCACAGGATCCACACAGTCCAATTTCAACTTTTATGTTAAGAGTTTTGTGATGAATTTTAAAAACAACAACTCCAAGTGGAGGACCTATAAAGGAATTATGACTAATGAAGAAAAGGTGAGAGAAACCTGGGAGTAACGAGAACTGAGTAGAGGGGACAGACCTCCAAATAGTTCAGCCTGTGTTTACATTATATATTTTATTATTAAAATACAATTACAGCCCTTCCTTGAGCATCTGAAAAGAAGAAAGGTCTTAGAAGAGATTTGAGGGTTATTTCTTTTCTACTTCAGAATGAGATACTTGTGATCTTCTTGGGAAGTAATAGTTGGTAACTTCAAACCATTGCTTCCATATAAATTAGAGCATGGTGGCAGTTTGGGGGATGAAAACTTGATCCAGGATGCTATTTGAGATCAGTCACATTAGGAGGGGTACACACTGATGACTTGTGCCCTTGAGGTGTCTGATCATTAGCACAACACTGACGTAGAAGGAGAAAGATACTGCAACCAGGAAATTTCAACTTCTTTATCCAAAATGGAATTTAAATCAGCAAACAGATGAGTAGTACCACCTGTAACTTGGCCTTTGTCTGCAAGGTCTTAGATCTTCAATATCCAGAGGGCCTAAAGAATGCAACAGATACAACCCTTGCTTTTGGTATTTCATATCCTGAAGTATGAGTAGATTGATAAAGACCTGAAGACTAATAGAACCTTCAAATGAAACTAACTTCTTTTCTACAGGTTTTCCAGGGAAACTCTAACTTTTGGGACCCAGTGAGGAACAATTTCATCCCTCCCATTGTGGCCAGATACGTGAGGGTCATCCCCCAGAGTTGGCACCAGAGGATAGCCTTGAAAGTGGAGCTCATTGGCTGCCAGATAACACAAGGTGGGGGCTCAGGGCCAATCAGGGAGTTACTACTCAGTTTGGGTCATTTGCTTTCACAGATCCCTGTTACTAATTTGTGATTTTGCACAAATTTCCACTTCTGCTTTAGGTAATAATTCACTGGTGTGGCGCAAAACAAGTCAAACTACTGGTGTTTCAACTGAGACAATCACAAAGCCCACTCCCTCAGAAAAAGTGCCCGCAGGTACAGCAATTGTATTGTTTTGTGACTTTGTAAGGGGCATAACTGGTGCTTTACCCAGTACAATGATGCTGTTGTTGTTGAAGTCAGTTCCAACTCACAGTGACCATGTATAGATAGGGTTTCCGAGGAGCAGCTGGTGAGTTTGAACCACCACCTAAAGGTTCAAACCCACCTTGTGGTCCAGTGCTTATCCTGCAGTGCCACACCAGGACTCCAATACAGTATTAATTCTCGACAACTACAGCCTTGGAAACCCTATGGGGCAGTTCTTCTCTGTCCTATTAGGTAGGTAGCTATGAGTTTTGATTTACTTCACCACAATGGGTTTGGGTTTTGGGGGCCAAACAACAAACTCACAGTAAATGGGAATCCCCAAGGAACATTGGAAACTGCTTTTTTGGGGGAATAAAAACTATTTCCACAAATTTAGACAGGATTTCAAATTCTCTACTTTTGCTTTGATAGATAATATGTAATCATTTCTCCTGTTTACTTACCAATTCAGAACCTTTTAAATCAATGTTCAGTTTTAGATCATGAAATCTGTTTATAGTTTATGTTGTAATGTTCTGACTTTCCCCCCTTTTTAGGAATAAACATTATAACTGTTGCTATTCCATTGGTGCTCCTGGGAACCCTACTCGTCGCTGGAATGGGAATCTTTGTAGCCTTCAAAAAGTATGTGACTTATATTTTTTTAGTTTCTTTAATTATGTAAGCAATTACAAAATGAAAACGACTTCTCAGGTACTCCTATGTGCAAAAGCAGCATTTCTTATTCCGAGACAAAGTGTTAACTTCTTACCATTTAAAAGCAAGTTGCATAAAGGTAGAAATTCTCAAGCATTTTTTATATGTTATAAACAATTCTTATCCTTTAGAAACCTTTGAGCTCGACATACCTGCTGAGTGTTGGTGATACGGTATCTGTTTTTCTTCTACCAGTAGAGTGAAAAGAATACTAGAATAAGTGAGGGGGTCTGAGCTCTGGTCCCACCTGAGTCACTAAGTCTGATGATCACTTCATCTCTTAGGCTTCACTTTTCTCATGCACGAAATAGAAAAATTACCTCGAACAACATTAACTCTCTCCCTGAGTTCAAAATTCCATGTTTATTGTAGCAAATGCTATAAGGTGAATCTTAACAACAAATGAAACACATTCTGAAGTTCCTTTTTATATTTTAAAGAAGCCTCAGAATTTATAAATATGGGTATTAGGACAAATAAAAGGAAGAGCAGTTTTCTGGGGGAAAGTAAGAAAAGACACAAAAATCTCTGTTATTTAAGCTTCATGTAGCTGCTCATGAGTTAAATCAGTGTCTTGGCTTAATATGCTTGTTATAAATTCATTTAAAGAAACTTACAGCTTTAGACCCATCACTCATCTGTCATTTTGTCATATAATGATGGCTTGTCTGTTGCTGGAAGCTATGCCACCAGTATCTTAAGTATCAGCAGGGTCACCCATGGTGGACAGCTTTCTGTTGAGCTTCCAGACTGAGACACACTAGAAAGACAGAGAGGCAGGCTACTTCTAATGTGTAGCCACTGAGAGCCTTATGAAGAGCAGGGCAGCATGGTCTGTACCAGAATATTGAATATTGAAACATGATGAATAGCACCAGAATATTGTCAGAGACAGTGCCAGAATATAAGCCCCTCAGATTGAAAGCACCAAAATACAACTGGGAAATAGCTGCCTACTCAAAGTAGAGTTGATCGTGATGATGGGAATGGAATAAAGCCTCCGGGACCTTCATTTGCTGACAGGGCACAACTTGAAATGAGGAGAAACAGCTGCAAACATCCATTAATAATCAGAACATGGAATATACAAAGTATGAATCTAGGAAAATTGGAAGATGTCAAAAATAAAATAGGACACATTAAGATTGACATCCTAGGCATTGTTGTTGTTAGGTGCCATCAAGTGGATGCCAACTCATAGTGACCTTATGCACAGCAGAACGAAACACTGCCCGATCCTGGACCAACCTCACTATTGTTGCCACGCTTGAGCCCATCGATACTGCCACTTTGCCAAACCATCTCGCTGGGGGTCTTCCTCTTTTTTTCTGACCCTCCACCTTACCTTACCAAACATGATATCCTTCTCCATTGACTGGTCCCTCCTGACAATATGTCCAAAGTATGAGAGACGAAGTTTGACCATCTTGGCCTCCAAGGAGCACTCTGGCTGCACTTCTTCCAAAATGGATCTTGTTGGTTCTATGGGCAGCTCATGGCACTTTCGGTATTCTCCTCCAACATCGTAACTCAAAAGCATCAATTCTTCTACAGTCTTCCTTACTCACTGTCCAACTTTCACATGCATATGAGGTAATTGAAAATACCATGGCTTGGGTCAGGCACACCTTAGTCCCCAAGCTGACATCTTTGCTTTTCAACACTTTAAAAAGGTCTTGTGCAGCAGATTTGCCTAATGCAATACGTCATTTGATTTCCTGACTGCTGTTTCCATGAGTTGATCCAAGAAGAATGAAGTCCTTTGACAACTTCAGTCTTTTTCTGTTGATAAGAAAATGTTGTTAATCGTAGGCATTAGTGAGCTGAAAAGGACTGGTATTGGCCATTTTTAATCTAACAAATCACATCGTTTACTATTCTGGGAATGACAAATTGAAGAGGACTGGCGTCACATTCATGATCAGAAAGAACATTTCAAGATCTTAAAGTATTATGGAAAATATCCATACAAGGCAGAGCATAGTTACTCAGATTTATGCACCAACCACTAAAGCCAGTGATGATGAATTGAAGAATTCTACCAACTTCAGTCTGAAATTGATCAAGCATGTAATCAAGATGTATTGATAATTATTGGCAATTGGAATGCAAAGGTTGGAAATAAAGATGAAGGATCAGTAATTGAAAATATGGCTTTGGTGATAGAAATGATGCTAGAGATCGCATGATAGGATTTTGCAAAACCAATGATTTCTTCATCACAAATACTTTTTTTAAACAACATAAAAGATGACTGTATATGTGGACCTCACCAGATGGAACACACAGAAATCAAATTGACTATATCTGTGGAAAGATACAGTGGAAAAGTACCATATCATCAGCCAAAACTAGGCCAAGGGCAGACCAACAACTGCTCATATGCAATTTCAGGCTAAAGTTGAAGAAAATTGAAACAAATCCATGAAAGCCAAACTTTGACCTTGAACATATCCACCTGAATTTAGAAATCATCTCAAGAACAGATATAATGCATTAGACACTTATGACACAAGACCAGAAAGTTGTGGGATGACATCAAGAATATCATACAGAAAGAAAGCAAAAGTTCATTAAGAAGACAAGAAAGAAGGAAAAGGCCAAAACGGATGTCTTAAGAAACACTGAAACTTACTCTCCAGTGTAGAGATGCTAAAACAAATGGAGTAAACAAGAAGGTACAAGAACTGAACAGAAAATTTGAAATTGTAGTTCAAGAACACAGGTATTTTAATGAAATATGCAATGACCAGGAGTTAGGGAAACAAAAGGGAAGAACATGCTCAGCATTTCTTAAGCTGAGGGAACTGAAAACAAATTCAAACTCAACTTGTAATATTGAAGGATTCTGTGGGCAAAATATTGAATGATGTAGAAAGCATCAAAAAAGAAGGACTATGCAGTCACTGTACCAAAAAGAAAGGGACAATGTTCAACCATTTTAAGAGGTAGTGTATGATCAAGAGCCAATGGTACTGAAGGAAGAGGTCCAAGGAGCACAGAAGCCATTGGCAAAGAAAAAGGCTCTGGGACTTGATGAAATATAAATTAAAATATTTCAACAAACTGACACAGCACTGGAGGCACTTACTCATCTCTGCCAAGAAATTTGGAAGACAACTACCTGGCCAATTGACTTTGTGCCTATTCCAAAGACAGGTGATGCAACGGAATACAGAAATCATTGAACAATATCACAAATAGAATTCTGCGAAACATAATTCAAAAATGGATGCAATAGTACATTGACAGGGAACTGCTAGAGTTTCAGGCTGGATTCAGACAAGGATGTGGAATTAGGAATATTATTGTTGACATCAGATGCGTCTTAGCTGAAAGCAGGGAATACCAGAAAGATGTTTACTTGGGTTTTACTGACTATTCAAAGGCTTTCAATTGTATGGATATGACAAGCTACGGACAATGTGGAGAATGAGTATTCTGGAACACTTAATTGTGCTCATGAAGAAACTGTGCATAGACCAAGAGGAAGTCATTTGAACAGAACAAGGGGACTCTTAATGATTTAAAATCAAGAAAGGTGTGCATCAGGGTTGTATTCTTTCACCATGCTTATTTAATCTATACACCGAGTCAATAATCCAAGTAGCTGGATGAAATGAAGAAGAATATGGACTCATTAACAACCTGCAATATGCAGATGTTACATCCTGGCTTGCTGAAAGTGAAGAGGACTTAAAATACTCATGAATATCAAAGACCACAGCCTTCATTCAGTATGGGCTGCACCTCAATATAAATAAAGGAAACAAAATTCTTGCCACTGGACCAATAGGTAACATCATTATAAATGGAGGAAGTATTGAAGTTGTCAAAGACATCATTTTGTGTAGATCGACTGTCAACATTCATGGAAGCAGCAGTCGAGAAACCACATGTATTACATTAGGCAAATCTGCGGCACAAGACTTCTTTAAAGTGTTCAAAGATGTCCATTTGAGGCCTAAGGTGTGCTTGACCCAAGCCATGGTATTTTCAGTAGCTTCATATGCATATGAAAGTTGAACAGTGAATAAGGAAGACCATAGAAGAATTTATGCATTTGAGTTAAGGTGTTGGAAAAGAATATTAAAAGTATTATTAGCTTCTAGAGGAACAAACAAATCTGTATTGTAAGAAGTACAGCCAGAATGCTCCTTAGAAGCCAAGATGGGCAGATTTCATCTCTCAAGCTTTGGACATATTATCAGAAGGAGCCAGTCCCTGGAGAAGGATATCAAACTTGGTGAGTGGAGGGTCATTGACTAAAAGGAAAGACCCCTGATGAGATGAATTGACACAGTGGCAGGTACAGTGGGCTGAAGCTTAACAACAATTGTCAGGATGGCTCAGGACCGGACAATGTTTTGTCCTGTTGTACATAAGATCTCGAAGAATCAGAACTGACTTGATGGCACCTAACAACAACAACACAGATTTAGATAGAGATGTAAAGAATATAGATCTCTGGGTGGAACAGTGTGTCCTCAGCTACAGGGTCACAGGGAGTCAGCACTGACTTGATGGCAATGGCTTTCCTAACTGAAGAGTCAGACACTTGAATTCACTCTACGGACCATGGAAGAAGAGCATGGAGATATGCTTCTGTAAAGTCACAGCCTCAGAAACCCTAGGGAGTTTCCACTCTGTCACCAAGGGGTTGCCGCAAGCCAGAATCAACTCAATGACAGCAGGTTTGGGTAGAGATGAAGTGAGAACATGTATTTATGAGGAATTGCCTTTTTTCCACCTTTTTGCTTTTCCATGTAAAGTATTGCACTTAATTATTTTATAAGATAATTATTTTTATTGATGGATGAGCTAATGAAAAAATAAAGTAAAAATAATGCTTTCTAGGAATGTAAAGTAAAATTAGCACACATTTTTCTGGTGAAAATATTGTGACCTTTATTGTAAATAAAATATATTTATATATAATCCTGCTGTGACTTTATAGTATGAGCACTGGACTGCTAACCACAAGGTTGGTGGTTCAAACCCACCAGACTACTCCTTGGAAACCCTACACAGGGTTACTGTGAGTAGGAATGGATTCAATGGCACTTAACGTGTTTATTTGCTGTTTAAGTTCATAATAGATATTATCTCATTTAAACTCACAACAAATTAAGTTCCATTATGATCTCCATGTTATAGAGACAGATATAGTGTCTTGTAAATATTCAGATGGATTTTTTGTCTTGATAGAAGGAAGAAGAAAGGAAATCCTTATGGATCAGCTGAGACACAGAAAACAGGTTGGTTGAAAACTCTACAGCTTTATTCTGTCATAGGGGAAGTATAAGATCTGCTTATTCAAAGCATTTTTAGGCTTGTAGCCCACATTTACTTGACTTGAAAACATCACACACAACAGCATAAGCTCTAGAGTTTTTAAGTTAGTAAACCTAGAAGGGAGGAAATTTATTGTGACCTATCTCTTCATTCTATGTTGATTCAGATATTTGATGGTCTGTTTACCTTTGTTTAACATCATCCTCATCACTTATTAACACTCATTTTCTTGGCTACTGGAATTTAGGCCAGCACACTGTCTAACATAAGGAAGTTATAAAAGCTTCATCTATGAATTTATAAAAAATGAAGCCTAACCATACCTCCACTAAACTCTCTATTCAACTGGGTACAATAATCCATTGCAGTGGACAGATAGAACTCCGAGACAATACGAAGTTTATTAGGGAAGTGAATAGGTTACAATACAGGATCAGAAAATGCTTAGGGTGCAGTTGTTCCACTCAACTGCTGATAAATGCCCACAGGACTCACCACTCCACAATAAGCTTCAGCCTGAAGACACTCATCTCTAGATCTGTGGGTCAGCAAACCTAGTTCTCCCACGGAAGTGCCTGGAGCCACCCCACTCTACAAACAAGCTTCCTGCCCAAAGTCAGTCAGCTTTACTTGCTCCAGGGGCTGGGAAGCCCACTGCTCTGTCTCACACTCTGCTTCTTGGTTCTGCTACTGTTGCTCCTCTGTCACTCCTCTGGTGTCAAGCTTCCTGTCCCTGGGTCAAGGAGAGTCAATGAGCAAGGATATCAGAGTTTAAAGGAAGCACTCCATTCCTGGCTCCTTTTTATTGATGATAATGAGATCCCTCCCTCCTGCTTCTGCGATAGCTCATTTTAAACCTACATTAGAGTTCCAGGTTTTTACAATTACAATTATGTCTGCTAACACACCACAGCTGAATCATGTTATCCTATCAGTATTTTCTCCCATCATTTCATATGAAGACCTAGCTTGGCAGAAACATTGTTTGGTGGGAGTTACAGAGTGGCTAGAAGAGACAGTAGAAAATTCACTACACCACAGCATGGAACATAGGCCAGCAAGCTCTCAACATGCTCAGAATTCCACTGTTTTCCACTTTGGGAACGTGGGGCAAAGATTAGCCAGGATTCATATTCAGGTTTCAGAGGGGCCTTACGACATAGGCTGCCCAAGCATTGAACAGCAAGTTAGCTGAGTTCAAGAGAAGGGGCATTGAGACAGGACACTGGAAACCTCAGGGATCGTTCAAGAGTCTACCTCTGTGGGGCCTAAACAGCCAACTGCATTGGCTCATCCAGGCCACCAATGTGGTTTCACTGCAGATTATGGAAAAATAATGCCCAGCATGGTCCAATATAGGATACCCCGGGACTATTTTGGAGGCGCACTGTAAGGCATGGCTGGGATAGTGCTTGTGGTCATTAGCAAATGACCTCAACATAGTGCTTTCATCTGAAGGTTCATCACGGAGCAAACCGTGGAGAGCATGTGTTACCTTTCTGATGTACTGGTTTCTTGTTCTTTTCATTCCAGGCTGTTGGAAGCAGATTAAATACCCTTTTGCCAGACATCAGTCATCTGAGTTTACCATCAGTTACGATAATGAAAAGGAGATGACCCAAAAGTTAGATCTCATTGCCTGTGATGTGGCAGGTAAGTGTCCAGCCTGGGTGGCAGAACATGCTGCTACGGAGGGAACCGGGAAAGAAATGAGACTAAAGTCCTTTGGCTTAGATGGGTCTGACAGATCAGTCATGTTGCCCTTTGATTTTCTTTCTGCACTCTGCCCAGAGTTACACACTGACACTGAGGTGCTATCTGAAAGCTCAGTTCAACCTCAACTCTTAACACCTGCAGGGATGCAATGACATCCATAGTGATGGTCCTGAAGTTCCCTCGAATCCAGAAGACCTTAATGAACCGATTTTGTTTTGGTTGAGGCACTGGAAAAGAGGGACTAGAAAGATAAATACACCTCTTGCCCTGAGGAAGAGGAGGTAGGAGAACAAAGAGGCTCCATGTCCCTGACAAGACATCATCAAAAAGTCAAGATTCCCAGACTATCCATGGGGAAGATCTGGTTTTATTATTATTATTTGCAGCCCACCATGATCTGGTATTCTTATAAAATATAACAAAAATTATCAGAAATGTGAGATTAGAAAATATATACATAAAAAATACAAAGCCCTATTTTAAAAATAGACCTTTTTTTGGACATCAAATTATTGTTCAATTGCTAAGCTCTTTACTGTTTCTGTCACAACAGTTCTCAGAACATAGGGGTCTGTGACTCTCGCTCTGAGGAGCACTTCTCTGCTTTCTATAACAAGTACATTCGGAAGGCCAGTGGCATTCCCATCACTCAGGAGCTTCTTAGAAATGCAGACTTTCTGGTCATGCATACGATAGGATGATGTAAAGCTAATGTTCTTCCATGTAAACTATCACATAATTCACAAGAAAACATTTTTTTAAAAAGTCCCCTCAGGCAGAAGTTCCCAGGTGATAATCCCAGTCTGAGAAGGACCAACATAAAGGGTGCCTGAGCAGCTTCAAGGCCAAGGAGAGCATTTCTCTAACCAAAATCTGTGTTCCTTTCCGTCAGTAAATTCTTTATCTGCCTCCTTGTGGTGGTTATGTGTAATCAAATTATTGTTATTTGTAATCAATCAAACTCTGTATAGGATTTCCAAGGAGCAGTTGTTGGGTTTGAGCCACCAACCTTGTGATGAGCCATCCATTCTTATCCTACAGTGCCACACCTTCAATAAAGCCTCACCTCCTCCCTCACTGAATGTCCCTGGCTCCTGCTCTTATTCATATCACCTGCGTATCTCCCAGCAAAATCTCATGTTTAGAGCTCCCGCCAGAGCCCTCCCCTGATATATGTTCTGCTTGGCATTTCATACCCAGACATCCCTAGACATCCCTTCCAGTCCCCAGCCTTCTGGAGGTCTCCACCTGTAAGTGTTACACCAGCCCTTCGATGTGTCCAAATGCAAACTCGCTTCTCCTCACACTCACCACCCATGCTCCTTTTTATCCATTTCTAGGCCATTTCCCTGCTGCACATCCCACTCATCCAGGCATAATAACCTCAGGAAGGGCCCTCGGTGCCTCCTTTCCTCATGCCTCATGTGTCACTGGTAATAGAATCCTCTGATTCCTGTCCCCAGACTATGATCTTGCCAAGGCTACTGCCACTCATCTCACCTAGTGCGCATCTCTTAAGCTTCATGTCTTTGCTCTTTACTTTTTTCTTTTCCATATTTCTTTCTTCAAGTTATCTTCAGAGTTACTACTAATTGTACAGTCTGTTATTTAAAATCCTCAGTAAGTTTTTACAGAATTAAACCAAAGAAACACCCTAGCAAGATATTCAGTGCTTTTCATGACTTCACATATGATTAAAAGCACACACTCAAAACTTGTGTGCACATCCTAGCTCCATCACCTGTTAGCTGTGTGTGATCCTGGGAAAGTTATTCAATCTCTTCTGCTTCGGTTTCACCATTTGTAAAATAGAATAGCACTCCCTACCTCATAAGATTTTGTTTTGAAGATTAAATTAATAGTGTCTTAGAATAGTGCCTGGCACAGAGTAAGGGCTCAGTAAATGTTACAGTTTTATCAGTGTCTTCACTGTCATCATGAAGTCCCGGCCTACATGCCATTAACGTGTCGCTCATACTCTGGGCACATCAAACTCTTGACCGTTTGCCTTTTCTCCTTTTATTCCCACTATTTCCTCCATCTCCAACATTTGGCATTTGAGAGCCAGCTTAAATGCCACTTCTTCCCCAGAGCCCTAGATTAAGCCTAAGTGCTCCTTTGTCTGTAATTCTTTGTTGTTGTTGTTAAGTACTGTGGAATTTGTTCCAACTCACTGTGACCCTGCATAAGGTTTCCGAAGCAGTAAATCTTTACAGGAGCAGAAAGCCTCATCTTTCTCCCACAAAATGGCTGGTAGTTTTGAACTGCCGACCTTGAGGCTTGCAGCCCGATTCATAACCACTATGCGACCAGGACCCTTCCTCAAACAGGTGTCATTTCATCACCAATCTCATGGTAAGCCCCTGTGTGTCAGAGTAGGATTGTGCTCTATCAGCAGCTGACACTTTGGAAGTCAGTCACCAGGTCTGGTGATAATAATAATGCGTTTCTTCCAAGGCGCCTTTGGTGGATGCAAAGCCCCAAAGTGTGTTAGCCAGCTGTTGACAACCACCCAGGGAGTCCCAAGCAGTGGTTATGATTGCATAAAACCCTTGTGAGGACCCTGGTACTTTTCCATGTCAGTCTTTGTCAGTGTTCCCGTGTCTGGTTCTCAGCGTGTCGACTCTGGACGCACAGAGGAACTGGTGACTCTTGTGCTTAAGATAGCTTTGGTACACCCATACCTAAACAAGGCGTCCGTCCTATACAAACACGGGTTTGTCCACAGTAGCCATGGGATGTACAAATGATACGGCATCTGCTCATGGCTTTCAGATTATCACCAGCCTCTCATGATTGGCACTGGGACAGTCACGAGGAAAGGCTCCACCTTCCGACCAATGGACACTGACACCGATGAGGCAGGAATGAGCACGGACGCCGGCGGCCACTACGACTGCCCACAGCATGGTGGCCGCCACCAGTATGCCCTGCCCCTGACCAACCAGGAGCCCGAGTACGCCACGCCCATCGTGGAGCGGCACCTGATGCGAGCCAACACCTTCTCGGCGCAGAGCGGCTACCGCGTCCCGGGGCCCGCACCCACGCACAAACATTCCCTTTCTTCAGGCGCCTTCTCCCCGACCGGAGGAGCAGGCACCAGAAATGGAGACTATCAAATGCCACAGAGCCCCAAACCTGCGGACCGGGCATATGATAAGCCCAAAGTGAACAGCTGCTTCACCGTAGAGAGCAGAGATTCTGACTCCCAGAACCCCCAGCTGAGTCCTTTAATGAGCGATGGTTACTCAGCACCCAAAGACTGCCTGAAACCCATCAACCAAACGGCCATGACTGCTCTTCTGTGACCACGATGTGAAAGAAACCTGCTGTGGTGCTGATCGTTTGCTGTTGTCACTGGAAGGAGGCTGTTGTGTGTGTGTGTGTGCGTGCTTGTGTGGTGTGTATGGCATGTATGTGTGGTTTATTAGGATCCTGCGGTGAAGTCCTAGAGACCACCTCCTACTGTTTACAAAACTGTGCAGCTGATTTTGTTCTGACCTTTTAGGCAATCGTCTGTTGGTTTTTGTTGGACTAGAAAAATGCAGATTTTCACATGACATTTTTAATTCTCTAACTGTGATCCTGGGAAGCGCGGTGGTTCTGTAGGATAAACACTGGACTGTGAACCATGGGCAATTCGAGCCCACCAGGCCGCTCTGCAGGAGAAAGATAAGGCTTTCTGCTCCTGCAAAGATTTACAGCCTCTGGGGACTGACCCCAAGGGTACTTAACAACAACTGTGATCCTGAGCTGCTTTGGTGTCAAATGTGCAATCTGTACAGAGTCGTATTTAACAAGAATTAAAGTAACTTAAGTTTGCTTTATCAGATGTTATTTCTGCACAGAAGTTAAGTGGGAAAATGCAGCTGTGGAAAAATGCATATAATAATTCACGTTCCCTTTTAAGCTATATTTTATCTGATACTGTGTTAGCAGCAGGTCTGTTTAAACTTAATCTTTTTATTGTGGCTCATTTCCTTTTCTTTGATAACAAGAACTAAGAACATTTTTAACATTCTTCTAGAAGAAATGAAATTACTTGAAGCATGAAAAGCACACAGTTTGGTTGTTTGACAATTAGATTTGTAGATTAAAACAAAACAAAATAAAGCCCCCTCAGCCAATGCCCATTCCCTTAAGATGGGACTGTGAAGGAGCCAGGTAGGTGCCTGTGGCCTGTAGAGATGCCGAGCTCCAGGAGGAGAAAAAGAAATGACTGTGGACATTTTAGCTGGTAGCGTAGTGGTTACGAATCGAGCTGTGAACCTTTTTGAAACTACCAGCTGTTCCATGGGAAAAAGATGAATGAGCCTTTCTGCTCCCATAAAGATTTACAGCCTCGGAAACCCTATGCAGGGTCACTGTTGAGTCGGAACTGACTCCATGGCACACAGCACAGTGGACATTTCATCACTTTTTGCTGCTTTCTCGCCTCAGGCCTGGCTCAAACTGTGGAGCCTTCACATGCCAATGTGCCTTGCAAATCTGTCAGCAAAGCCAAAGGCTGAGATTCACTGCAAACAAAACTGCTCTCCCAATAAAAGGAAGTGTAGATGGTACAGCACTCACAGTTGGTGACTGTGCCAGATGCTTTTGTAGCTCTGAGTTTAAATATCGCTGAGATCAGATGCCCACACTTTTCATCACTTCCATCAGAAATAGAACATTTGAGTAACTTCCATTGTACCCTGGGAGAGGAGTGGGAAGATATTTGAAGTGTGCTGTTACAGATCTAAATGGTGCTTTCGACTGAAACGGTTGGGAATGAAACTCACTTTTTAAGAATCCGTTTTCCCCTGTAGTATGTGTCTGTAATTCTAGATTAGGCCAGACCTCAGCTGTACCTCATGATTTTTACTTTTTTCATTGGAGCTTGCTTTATGAGTTAATCATGGGGGCGGGAGGTGGGGAGTTAGCCTCTTTTGCCAAAGAGGAATGTAGTTTTGTAAAAGAAAATGTTCTATGGTGATGACTTTCTGTGAAATGTATAAATATATAAACTCATGAGGTTGCTGGAAGGTCAGGGCGATGACGATGACCTGTTATTGTGGAGGACAAGCTGTTTAATTGGGGAGTTGACATGGTTTTATGAGTGTGCTAATTATAATAAACTATGCCAAATCAAAGTGCCCTTGGCTCTTATTATTGGTTCTGGATAAAAGGTCAGGTGATGCAGTGGAAAGCACATACTCTTGTAGTCAGATGTCTCTGGATTCCAGACTCCAGTCTGCCACGAAACAGCCACAGATCTTGATTTAGTTCTCTAACCCTGAGCTTCAGGATTCTTGTGTACCTTCCTCCAAGGCTTACTGATGACAAGACTTAAACTGAGACAACATTTATCAAGGTATTTGTTGTATAGCAGGCCCTCAGTGGGATATGTATAGTACTTTAACTTTAAAATAAGAATAGATGTGGGTCTACATGTTTACAAGGAAGTTGTCTTCATCCATTATATATCTTCCCCATACTCATGAATATTGATAGCTCCTCAGCCTAATTCACAGTGTGGTGGTGTTGATAGGTGCTGTCTGTCAAGTAGGGTCCGATTCATATTGACCTTATGCCCAACAGAGCAAAACACTGTCCAGTCTTGCGCCAACCTCACAATCATTGTTACGCTTGAACCAGTTGCTGCTGCTACTGTGCCGATCCATCTCTTTGGGGATCTTCCCCCTTTTTTGCTGATCCTCCACTTTACCAAGCATGATGTCCTTCTCCAGGGACTGGTCCCTGCTGACAATATGCCATAAGTATAAGAGACAAAGTCTGGCCATCCTAGCTTCTAGGGAGCATTCTAGCTGTACTTCTTCCAACACAAATTTGTTTGTTCTTCTAGCAGTCCATGATATTCTTCTCTAACACAATAACTCAAATGCATCAATTCTTCTACAATCTTCCTTTTTCATTGTCCAACTTTCACATGCATATGAGGCTATTGAAAATGCCATGGCTTGAATCAGGCAGCTAGCTGCATCTAAGTCCTCAAACAGAACTTTGCTCTTGAACATTTTAAAGAGGCTATGTGCAGTAGATTGGACTAAGATGGGCTAGGAAGAAGGAGCGGTAGACTAGTGCTGACTGTTTAGCCACTGAGAACCTTATGACTAGCAGCGGCCCACTGTCAGACAGCACCAGCATACTGGTTATTGAATTCACCATCAAGTTGGTTCCGACCCATAGCGACCCTGTATAGAGTTGCCGAGGCTGTAAATCTTTATGGGAGTAGAAAGCCAGATCTTTTTCTCGTGGAACCACTGGTAGTTTCGAACTGCTGACCCTGTGGATAGCAGCCGGATTCATAACCACTACACTACCAGAGCTCCTACTAAGTAAATTAACATCACATTTTGGAGTATGTTGCCCCCTGCTGACACCTTGCCAAATTGCAAATGCTACCTCTCCACAGCATGGACTACAAGTTTATTTGGATTATTATATGGGTGAAAACAGCACACAACAACAACAACATGCAGTTTTGAGCACTTGAGAAGTAGATAATCAAATGGGGATTTAAAATCTTAATTTTAAGTAATTGAAAATTTGAAGGTCTGTTGAGGTATCATGTAAGTTTTGGCTACCCAAACTATATTTTAACTTCGTTCTTAAAAAATGAAAGTTGTTTTTACTGAGTCCAGAATTCCAGCAGGGCATTTATTTTCTTTTGGCATTACAGCATTTTATTCCACTATCTTCTGATTTCCATTGTTGTTGTTTTGCAGAAGTCAGTTGCCATTCTTTGTAGGTGATCTCACTACTAATTCTGGCTGCTTTTGAGATTTTTGTTCTGATGTTCTATAGTTTCACTAAGATGTTTATAACTCTAGGTCTCTTTTTATTGCTCCTACTTGGGATATGTTTTGCATTTTGATTCAGCAAATTTGTGTCTTTCTTCAGTTGTGGAAAATTCTTAGCCATTATCTTTTCCTATATTGCCTGCCCTTCAGTTTCACTAACTTCAATTTCTGGAACTCCGATACAAATATGATACCTTTTATTCTATCCACCAGGTTCTTTTTCATATCTTCCTTTATTATGCATTTTGTGTGATTCAGGTAACTTCTTTACACAGATCTTTTAGTGCACTAATTCTTTGTCCTCATTGGTATATAGTCTGTTGCTTAAACCTGCCTCTCCCTACCACCCACCTTTTATTAAATGTAAACAAATATGCTTTTCATTTCTACAAGAGTCCTTGTAGTTGATTTGCTACCAAATAACAGTTGGTCTCCTTGAGGAGGCATGCTTTAGAGTTAGTCTCTGTTGCTGCACAGGAGTAGCTACAATGGCCTTGGTAAGTAGGAGGTCGTGCTGTTGGGTCAATGCATGACCTTTGTCTCTGTCATGATGATTATGCTTGCCAAGCTAGTTTTGAGGTGGCAGATGACAGACTGGCTAAACTCGACTGCCTGAGTCACTCTGTCTTCTTGATTGTTCAATGCCTCTTCCATGACAGATGTTTTCTTTTTGATATTAACATGATACCAAAATCTCCATGCTTCATGCACACTCACACTCCTATGTTCAGCCATGCACCTCTACTTGAGACTTCTTTGTTGTTCATCTTTTAGTCCTGTATAGAGTTTCCAAAGAGCAGCTGGTAAGTTTGAACCAGTGATTTTGAGGTTAGTAATCCAGTGCTCATCCTATAGTATAACACCAGGACTCTATCTGGGCTAGTTGTTGTTATGTGACTCATAGTGACCCTGTGCACAATAGAACAAAACACTGCCTATCCTGGGCCTTGCTCACAGTTGTTACTACCCTTGAGCACATTGCTGCTGCCACTGTGCCAGTCCGTCTCATTGGGGGGTCTTCCTATATTTCTCTGACCCTCCACCTTACCTTGATGATATCCTTCTGCAAGGACTTGTCCCTCCTGATAATATGTCCAAAGTATGAGATACGAAGTCTCTCTAAGGAGTATGAGGTACAGCCAGAATACTTCTAAAGAGTATTCTGGCTGTACCTCATACAACGCATATTTGCTTGTTCTTCTGGCAGTCCGTGGTACTTTTAATTTTCTTCACCAACACCAAAACTCAAATGCATGGATTCTTCTATGATCTTACTGTCTTCACTGTCCAGCTTTCACATGCATATGAGGTTATTGAAAATACCATGGATTAGGTGAGGTGCATCTTAGTCCTCAAACTGACATCTTTGCACTAGAACACTTTAAAGAGTTCTTTTGCAGCAGATTTGTCTAATACAATAAGCCATTTGATACCTTGACTGCTGTTTCCATGAGTATTGATAGTAAGTCTGAGCAAAATGAAGTCTTTGATAACTTCAATCATTTCTC